ATAAGACAGTTTGAACCGAAGGATGGATAGTGAGGGAGCGAGCAACGTGTGTCTTTATGAAAAAAGGGAGGGAGGCCGCTTGACGTGACATGGGCTGTTTCTCTTAAGTTCTCAAAATGGCGGACGCTCGCTGTGGTTTGAGCTCTTTAGCATTTTTCACACAAAACTTTTAATATTTTATTTTTTAATCAGTAAACAAGTTCTCCGCTTCTTTTTGCAAAGAAAAACAACTTTTTACATGAAGGCACGAGTTTCAACTGTGAATTTTGGCGTTTCGACAAGACGGAGGTTTTTTTCTGAGGTCGGCCTGTTAGCTTAGCTCGTAGCTTAGCTCGTAGCTTAGCTGCTTTTAACAGATTTTAAAGAGAAAGGGAGGGGTCAGTGAAGAGTTGAGCCTTTTGTCATCCAGTGTCTTCAGTAGAAAGAGAGGCACACGAAGAAATGATAAAACCAATAAATGAAAATGAGGTCGATAATTTTAACTTCTCGTGCGATTAATCGATTAATTATCGCGACAGTCCTGCTTGTTGCTCTCTAAAATAGTTATTTAATCAAGTGCTTACTTGTAGGAAAACATAGATGTTTAACAATCTGTTAAAACACGCCAGAATGCAGGAAATGTCATCTACTTTATTCAAAAATTTCTGACCTCATTACAAATGCTTCTGATGCCAATGCAACAATAAACACAGTCAGTAGAAAATAATCTGATGCATCTTAAGATTAGTCACTAGGAAGCCGAAGAGTCAAAGTTCGTATAAAGACCCTTTTTAAAGAGTTCCTCCCTTTTGTTGTCACTTCGTTTTACTTTCTGCGCTGTTAATAAAAAAAGGCCGTTATAAGGAACATGAGTAAATTCATCTGTATTGTGCTAAATTTATTAAACATTAAGTCGTTTTCTTCCACGTTTTGAATTTGAAGGACATGCGTGTCACGTCGAGGCTCATCCAGGCTCGATCAGCAGGAAGTTTTATTGGCTTTAACGTTTTTCTCCATCAGTCAAAAGTTTTTAGGTGACAACAAATGTTTGCTGTGCCGACTAACAGAAATGAAAGGTGTTTAATAAATTTAAGGTAGGTCAACTATTGAATGGATGTGAGTTTCAATTCCATTACTTCTTTTGTGTCACCTTTTTCTTTATTGCGTTTACCTGTTCAAATGATTTGTACCTGGAGGAAGTTGATGTAGTCTTCAGACTGAGCCAGCTGGTTGAGCACGGAGCTCTTCCTCTTGAGGGCAGCGATCTCCTCCTCCACCTCTCTGATCAAACCCTGAGCTCTGCTCTCTGCTGCTCGAAGGCTCGTCTCGATCACCTGGAGGCGAGAGCAAACACAGAACGTCTGTTCCAAAACAAGCCTTTGAGTTCGTGTTTGTGTGGTTTTATTTTTTACCTCCAAGAATTTGCCTTGGCAGTGCTCCACACTGGAGATCAGCTTGGAAAAAGCACAAACAGCCTCGTCGGTTTCTTTCTCAGCGGCAGTCTGAAGACAAAAGAAAGAGCAAGAAGTTACATTTAAACAATAGGTTGGTAGAAATATGCCCCCTCTGTGTTTTTGTGATTATTCCTTTCACGGCTGAAATAAAATCTTAAGCTTTAAAAATAAAAGAAAATTAAATCATTTGTAAACTATGAGCTCATCAGATTCGATTGAACTTTGTTGAATATTTGCTGATATTACTTAAACTGCATACAGTGCATTAAGGTAGGAACCGAGTTCAGGCATGTTTGACCAGAACTGAAAGTTCTGCTCGTGTTGTCGTTAATCACAAAACGTGCACGTGTCGTATGCAAGCGGTCGTTTAAACGTCAGAGCTCACTGACCAGCTTCACCTCCCTGCAGGTGAACCGAGGGAAAAATTTATTTCACAGAACGAGACAAAAATGCACAAGAAAGATCAGCGTGAAGACGCACAAACGCTGCAAACGCACACTCTCAGAGGTGGCCACAGCGAGCATACGGAAGGTTTGCCAATTGTTTTAGGAGAAGATACCTCGGATGCTCTTCCTGGGCTCAAACTCGCAACCTCAGGTTTACAAAACCGTGGCACTGACCCCGAAGCTATCACAGCCCCCACTTGTGTTCCGGCTCTAAAGTGAGAAATGATTCTCTGAAGTTCAGTCAGGTCCTCTGGACTGTTTCCGTTTGTTGAAAGGTTTCGTCTTTCATCCAAAGGACTTCATCAGTCCGAGGAGCCACAACAAACTCAGCACCTTCACATAGTGGGTCAACCAGTTTGATGGTGCTCAGATGGTTTCAAGAGTCCACCCTCTTCCTCGCTGACCCGTTTGAGGCAGTCATGGACAAAGTGGTTCAAAATGAAAGACGAGACGTTTCAATAAAAATAAAACATCCAGAGGACCAGACTTAACTGTTGTTTATTTTCTACTTGGATGATTGAGCGTGAATCAGGATGCTTCGTCTGCTGCATCACGTTGGGGGGCCTCCTGCTATCGGCTGCGTGCACGGTTTGGTCTGCAGCTGTGCACACTGGAAAAGCTGCAAACGCCCATTTTTTGAGGGAAGAGAGGAACGTGAACAAGTCGCGCAGGGAAATACGCCTCGCGTTTATCACAACAGATGCCTCGCGCACAGCTGGACTCGCACAACGTAGAACATGCTGCTTTTTCTTCTCGTACACTGAAGCCAGCCCGCAGGAAGTACTCCATGAAGAAACGGAGGCTTGTGCACGGGCACATGAGAGATGGAGGACATATGGGGGCGTAGATTCGTGCACAGATCGGCTCACGAAGCCTTCACCTCTCTGTTAAACACGAAAGAGATCAGTAGAGTCGTCATGAGGACTGAAAGCTGGTCAGCTGGACCGATGTGTTCCAGTACGACACCCAGGGAGTCCGAGCATCATGATGGACTGCCTGAGCACCACTGATCCAGCTGCAGGTTCTGAACTCCAGCTGGAATCTCTCCAGACTTCACTACACCTGATGACTTTAAAGCTTCATGGAGGACTGTCCTGAACTTACAAAGCTGTGACAAATCCTCCCCCCAGGATGGAAAAAAGTGTAAAAGCACCTTCCAAATGACGTCTAACTTTATTTTATAAACTGAGCTGATGCTCAGAGGCAAACGTCCCCTAGTACGTACCCAAGTCTCTACAAGAGGATGAAGGTTCACGAAGGACGTCGAGAACTTTACTACAGTCTCATCATCATGCACCAAACCATCAGACATGTGACTAAACAACTAATGTTTCACCAGCACCATTACAGCCCAACATGTACTCAGAGGTCAAAGTTGATATTTCTGTCAACGTCATAGCTTCATTGTCACATCCCACACCACTTTATTAAAAACAGAGCAAGGCCAACCAAAGAGCTGTACAACAAAAAGCAAAGGACACAGGATAAAAACATAAAATTCACAGAGGTAAAGAGAAACTAAATGACTGAAATAATAAAAAAAACAGTGAAGTTAAAATCAACTCAGGGAATAAAAGCGTTTTTTTTAAACGAGACTTAAAAACAGTGAGACGGAGCCTGGCTGACCTGCAGTGGTAACTCAGTCCACAGTTTTGGACCTGCAGCAGAGAAGGTCCCGTCACCTCTGAGCTCAAAATGAGTGACTGGAACCAGCAAAAGCATCTGGTCCGACCTCAATGCGCTGTGGGACATATGGCTGCAGCGGATCAGTGAGATAAGAGGGGGCAGAACTGCTCGGAGACTTAAAAACAAAAAGGATTTTAAAATGAACTGGGAAGTGAACCGGGAGCCAGTGAAGGGAGGCCAGGACTGGAGAACTTTTTCAGGCTTCAGCATTTTGAAGCAGTTGGAGATCCGACTGATTCCAAAGTGAAGCGTGTTGCAGTCATGGAGCCCGGATGTGATGAACACATGTTCTGTCTCGAGGTGTGGAGACGGTCGCCTCAACTGAACAAACTAAACAGGATTGAACAGTCGTGCTTACGTTCATGCACATGGAGCTCATGACTGCAGGTTTGTGTCGACTGTTTCAGTAAACCGTCTAAAAGCTTTTTCTCCCAACGCTACCTCAAAGACTGCCAACATATTCTTAACTTCCGTTTTTGCAAGTAGAAGAAAACAATTGCACCGTGACAGCTGATAATGGGGAGTGGTGGTGCTGAGGTTAGAGAAGATGGGCCTGTGATAAAGAGGTCACAGGTTGCCCGTTTGACTCCCCAGACCAACAACATCGCCTGCCTCCACCCTCATTTGTCCCAATCTGAGCCCTTGAGCAAGGCTCTTAACCCCCACCATCTGCTCCCCAACAGGTCTCTCTTGAAAACGAGCCCTCGTGACTCCATGAGACTAACCTGTATAAATAAAGGTTCAATAATAAAATAAAGGACCACAGTTTGCATCTTCTGTTAGTGCACATAAGGACATCAAACAGATGTGAAACACTGAGTGTTAAAAAAACAGTTCAGGCAGCTCAAGCTACACGACGACACCGACAGAGCGGCTGAAACATGCGTTTATTATTTGTGTCCGTCATAAACTACTCAGTCTTTTAAAGCTCTCAGCCAACAGGGATTATCAAGATCCAACAACTTTTTAAACCTTTAAACATTATTGAGCATGCATCAGGAGATTTTTTAAACATTGATTTTATTTAATGGCATTTTAAAGGCATTTACCATTTAAGGTTCAAATGTATTCGTTTACTTTTTTCAATTTTATTTCAGTCTTGGTTTTTGGAAAACTTTCCAGCACCTTCCAGACAAGAACCACCAGTTAAAGCATAAAGTCCAGTGGATCCAGCAAATCAAAGTAGATTAGATGTGATGAAAACTCACCTTGATCTCTCGGAGGGAGCTCTGGATCTCCTCCAGTTTCCTCTCTCGGTCAGAGATGAGCTCCTTCAGTTCCACCTCTGTGAACTCTGCTTGAGACTGGAGAAGATTAAAAGTGTTACGCGCGGCGCGATACTCGTAACGAACTCCAAAGCTGCACAGGCGAAAGGAAAAAGAGCAAGTCTGAATTGGAATTTATAAACTGAGGTTTTATCTTATTGTGTGAATGAAGCGTTCACACTATTGTTTTCCTGTTTATATTTATCGTTTTTCTGACTTCTTTCCCTATTCTGTACGTTTTTCGGTGCAATTCTTGACCTAAAATTTAAGCTATTTCGGCAATTTAAGTTTCAAAACGTTCAGCTCTTTCAGGACAATCCTGTTGTGGCTTTTGGCATCTGTGCAACTTTAGCTTTTTGAAATATTTAACTTTTTATGACTTTTTTTTCCTCATAGAAAATTAATTGAGTTCAAATCTTTAGGTCTGTTTACAACCTTTTGCTGCTCACATTTTGTTCTGTTTCAGCTTCTTTCAGCTTCCTCCTGCAAATTAAAACTTTTTTCAGCTACTTTCAGCTAATCTCAGCTGTTTTTCAGCTGGTTTGTGCTCCTTTCAGCTTCTTTCTGTTAACTACAACATTTTTGTGCTTCTTCTAACTTCCATCTGCTAATTTCAGCTTCTTTCAGCTTATTCAAGCAAGTTTCAGCTTTTTCTGCTCATTCAACTACTATTTAGCTGTTTTCATGCTAATTTTAGCTTTTTCAAAAACATTTTTTGCAACTTTTTACAGCCTAATTCAGCAAAAATGTGATCTCTCCACTTCCTTTTTGTCATTTAAGCTTCTTTCTGCCTTTTCAGTTACTTTTCAACTGTTTTTTAAGCAGATTTTTGTTGTTGCTAATTTCAGCTTCTTTTTAGATAATTTACATTTCTTTGTGCTCATTTCAGCTTCTTTCAGCCAAACGTGTTCATTCCGTTTTTTTTTCTGCTAATTTAAGCTTGTTCTACCTTTTCAGCTACCTTAGCAAATTTCAGCTGTTTTCAGATCAATTCATTTTTGTGTGGTCATTTCTACTTTCAGCCTTATTTCTGCTCCTTTAAGCTTTTTTCTGCTGGCTTAATCTTTCTGCCTTTTCAGCAACTTTTCAGCTATTGTTTGTCAATTACAGCATTTTCTTTAGCTAATTTCCTCATCTTTGTGCTCATTTCAGTTTATTTAAACTTAATTCAGCAAATACGTGTTCTTTGTACGTTCTTCTGCTAATTTAGACTTGTTCTTCATTTCGGCTACATTTTCAGCAAGTTCTTCAGCAATAAGCGTTCACGCTGCATTTTTGCAGGAAATGCAATGCATCTAGTTTAATTAATTAATTAATGTATTATTTTGAAGTGGCCGGTTAGAAGCATCTTTCTGAAACACACAGACCTTCTTGATTTGCCACTCTCGCTTGGCAGACACGATGTTGTGTCCGCGGTGCTCGGCTGTCTCCGTGCAGGCGCTGCACACACACTTGTTATCGGTGCGGCAGAAGAACTCCAGGCCTCTCAGGTGGGTGGGGCATGGGGGGAGGTTAGATGAGACATCAGCTGGACTTCCCATGCTGTACAAACACCAAGAGTTAGAGTTCGATTGATCTTGTCAGTTTTTATTTTTAATGGGAGCCACCTGCGTAATATCACTAACGTTAGAAACATCTAAAGATGATGCAGAAGAACTGGTCCATGCATTTGTCACGTCTAGACTGGACTATTGCAATGGTTTATTATCTGGGTGTCCAAATACTTCTTTAAAACGTCTTCAGTTGATCCAAAATGCTGCTGCCAGAGTCTTAACTGGAGTTACTGGGAGAGATCATATCTCTCCAGTTTTAGCTTCTCTCCATTGGCTCCCTGTCAAATCCAGAACTGAATTCAAAATCTTACTTCTAACATACAAAGCCATCAACAGCCTAGCTCCATCTTATATTACAGATCTTATTGTTCCATATTTTCCTAACAGAGCACTTTGCTCTCAGGCTGCAGGTTTACTTGTGGTTCCTAGAGTTTCTAAAAACAGAATGGGAGGAAGATCTTCCAGTTCTCAGGCTCCTCTCTGGTGGAACCAACTTCCAGTTTCTGTCTGTGAGGCTGACACATTGTCCAGTCTTAAGACTTTCCTTTTTGATAAATCCTATAGTTAGGGTCGGCTTGTTGTGCTGCTGTAGACTTAGACTACTAGAGGACAAACTGACCTCATTTCTTCACTCTGCTGCTGTCTTTACTTGCTCTACTCTACCCGTTTTTAATTGTAATTATTTCTATCCTTGATGTGTTTTTTGTGTAATAGTGGGTACACCTGAACCAACACCTGCACCGACACCTGGACCTGCCATTCTGTTTGTTTGTTTCTCCTTCCTGTCCTCTGAAACCCGTACGACATGTGTGTCAAAGAAGGAGGTGACAATAGCACCCAGTTAATCTGTGGCAGGATTATGTAACATTTTTGCTTTTGGTTCTCCAGCTTTTAGAGGAATTGTGCAAGAGTTGTCTACGTGTACCTGTTGGCAGTGGAGTACGGTGGTGGTGGGTCTTGGAGTCCGTTGTTCTGTGTCTGAAGGAAGAAGCTTTGAGATTCCATGGGACTGCCTCGTGGCATTCCAGCAGGGTTCAGCTGCTGAAAACGTGCTACCATCTCAACAAATATATTCTCCGGCATGTCCCCCGGTCTTTGAGGTGCAGACAGACTTTTGTAAGGCTGTGCGTTAGGAGGCTCCCGTCCCATGACTATTTCTGTTGTTGACAAATTAGAGTTGGCCATCTGCTTGAATTGTTCAGTAATTTCCTTCAGAGTTCGGTTGATGTGTAGCTCCGGACGCTTCTGGAAGGCCTCTTTGCATAGGGGACACTGGTAAGACTTTGCACCCCGTCCTCCTCCATCCCAGTAGGAACAGATGCAAGACTGGCAGAAACTGTGACCACATGGTGTTGAAACTGGATTGTTGAATACTTCCAGACAGATGGAGCAGGTGAACTGATCTTCAGACAGAAAGGCAGCGGGCAGCGCCATCTCCCTGTAGGGTTTAAACACACAAGAGCAAGTTCAATAAGACAAATTAGACAGAAAGAAAATTATCACCATCCATCCATCCATCATCTTCTGTTTGTTCCGAGTCAGGTCAGGTTGGTGGGGCAGCATCTTGAGCAAAGCTTTACAGCTCAGCTCCCTCTTCACCACAACGGACCGGCACAGTCTGCAACACTGCAGATGCTGCACCAATCCGTCTGTCAATCTCACGCTCCATTCTTCCCTCACTTGTGAACAAAACTCTGAGATACTTGAACTCCTCCACTTGAGGCAGAACCTCGACCTGAAGAGAACAATTCACCTTTTTCTGAAAATGATCATGAATTCACAAAAACAAATTAAAAAACAGTTTACAAACATCTTGTTTTGAAATGGTTTGATTCAGTTACTCAAGAGTCAGTCATAAAGACCTTAAAGCTTTCACTCTTAACGATCATACAGGTCATCCAGTCACGTTAAAACAGAGACTGATCCCTGTAGTTCATGTTAGCGTTTTATGGACCGCAATACTGAATCATCTGGTCCTCATCGAGTCTTAAAACACAGAAACAAGTTCACCTAAGCAATAACGCATAACATGCAATGAAACATTCATTTAAGAAAAAATATTCATTTATTAGTCAACTAATTAATTTAGTGAGTGACAAACCACCCTGCGATCCAAAAGTTGTAGCTCCTTCTTTCGCGTCCTCGATAGGGATTTTTGTAAAACTTCATTCCATCACATGTGGTGAAGACATTTTGGGCAACTCTTGTTTCCATCACTGCTTCAGTTTATTGAATTTTGCAGACACTGGTTTCTGGACAGCACTCTGAAAGCTCCACCACAGCGTTTCAATCAGGTTGAGGCCTGGACCAGGACCATTACAGCATCTGTTTGTTCCAGAAGCCTTGTGTTCAGCACAGATGAAACGTTACAAACTTTATTCACTGCTCTGTTCTCTTTAGAGAGAAAAAGCTTCTAATGTTCTTTTAACATTAAACCAGCTAATAAGGCTTGTAGACCCCCAGTCATCTGGAACATGGCAAATTTTACAAGTTTCAAAACTGTGATGGTCTCAGCCACACGTTGGTAAAAATAAATCCACTCACTAACCTCACTGGTTTATTTTGGTTGTGGTTGAACATGTGCTGTGGTAATTCATTGATTTGGTTTTGCTTGAACCTAGCAGTGGTGTTGGAAAGTGTGCACATATTATCACTGTGCTTTTTAAAAAATGTATCCTGTTATATTAATAATGATTCTTTTTTTAAGTTACCTGGTTTGGGGAGGTGGCTGCTTCCTGGTTGGGCAAGGGCTGAGGAGGCCTGAGGACTTTGAAGCACAATGCCAGCTCAGCAGGACCAACCACGTGCTCGTCACCAAGGGGGTGTTTTAGGTTGAGTTAGATCATTTGGTCTCAGTTAGCATTGATAAGTTCTGTCTCCCCTTTTGTGTGTAAATGGTCTGACCAAGTCCCACTATAAATTACCCTTCTGTATCTTTGGGGGAAGGCCAGTTTTGAAAAGTTAAACGTGCACATCTTGTTTACTCAGTTTTTGTTAATCCTTTTTGAGGAGACTTTTGTTTAGTTGATCTCTTTTATGGGCCCTTTAACTTTTTTTTTACTTTTATCATTTTTGAATATTTTTTGAGGGGTGAAATAAAAACCCACTTTCAAACATTTTTCCTATCTCCTCAATGCCCTCATTGCTCCGTCCGTCCGTTGCAAAACAAAGTAACTGGATTTCTTCTCTGTAGTTGAAAACATTTTGAGAACAGATACTCTTTGCCTTTCTCTAAACAGTAAATACCTTACTTTTGCCAAGAATTAATTTATATCCAGAATTTATACTGAATATATCTGTGATTGAAAGGGCAGTGGGGATAGAGCATGAAAGGCCTGACGAGAACAGCAGATAGTCATCAGCATACAGGGTCACCTTTAACGCCACACCTTTCTTAGTTATGCCAGATATAATCTAACGAGACTGTAATGGACAGAGGCTCAGGTACAATGGCAAATAAAACAGGACTTAGAGCGCCTTGCAGACAAATGCAAACAAAAATATTCAGTTTGTGCCATTTGTTCCGAGTTTAACATGACTACAGCCGTCTTACTGACAGACAGGTGAAAGCAGTGTGCTATCAACAGAAAATAATAATAATCAGTGTAGTTACGGTGAAAATGTTCGGAAAAAAAGCTTTGTCTCTCATCTGGACTTAAAAAGTGCCAGAGCCAGACAAGATGAACTTTTTTCACTGAGGCTACAATCTCTTTGGTCAACCTTGCTTGGAGAGCGGAAGTGGAGGAGGAGTAGTGTAAGAAGGGTCCATCCTGCAATTCCAATGTCCTCCAATAATCAAATTATAAATAGACAAAACCAGCAGCGTTGAGAAAATCCATCTAAATGTATTTATTTCCTTTAACCTTTATTTAACCAGGCAAATCTCGTTGAAATCATAGGTCTCTTTTTCAAGGAAGGGCTTGAAGGCAGCCTGAACGTGCATGTTTTGGATTGTGGGAGAAGCCCTTGAAGAAAACCCATGCAAAAACAAGAACATGCAAACTCCACACAGGAAGACTCCAGGCCCAATCCAGGACCTTCTTAGGGAACAGTGCAAACACCAGTTGTCCTGACTGGGAGCATATATTTACAAAGGCCACGTTTATGTCATAAATGTGCCCGAGAACACCTGCCAGCATAGTCAGATGTTGTTTTAACATGAACAAAGGGAATATCTTTAAGTAAGAGATTGACAACACCCTTGATTTGCTGGAAAAGAACCAAAGAAACATGTTTACAAACCAGCTCCTCTTCAGTCTGGTGTTTTTATTTGTTTCAGCTGCTCCTTCTTCAGGGGTCGCCGCAGCGAGCTAACTCGCACGAAGACTTGATGATTGTTTTTACACTGGATGTCCTTCCTGACACCACAGACCACGAGCTACCACAGCCCTCTGTGTGGAGCAGAGAGCTAGGGTGCCCAGGGGCGCAGATGGTGGAGGTTAAGGGCCTTGCTCAAGGGCCCAGGGTGGGGCAAATGAGGGTGGAGGCAGGTGTGGGTGCTTCATCTTTCCCATCTACATGTTGATGTTGTTGGTACGGGGAGTTGAACCAGCGGCCTTCCGATCAAAGGCCCACCTTCTCTAACCTCTGCACCATACCCCACATATGGACCATATTATATATTACGAGAGCATCAAGACCGCCTGAAAAGTGCAAACTTTACTGCTTTTGGTTGGTTTAGCCCCTTAATGCAAACTAGAAAACCTAACATCCCCATCGAGTGGTGACTTCTTCAGGTGAGTCATAAAGAAAGAAAAGTTTCAACAAGTGATTCAATAAATGAAAAGGGAAATTAAATTAATTTCAGATACATACAGAGCAAGTCAAGATAAGAAGTTGAGAAAAAGCAAGACGCTATGCTAAGCTAACGCTAGCAGGCACATCAGAAGGTGACTCGAGCTCAATGCAGTAATGCAAAACAAACACACAAAAACATTTTGTGTAGCAGAAAGTCAATTAGTTTCAAATCAGTTCGGTAGATTAAAAGATTCTGCGAGCAAATAAATGATTTCATCTACCTACTGGGAAAACAGGAAGTGACACTTTCATAGATGGGAAATGCGGAAGCATCGTACCAGCGGCTTAAAATTATTTTGAGAGAAATCATTGTGCACACCCATTATTAATTTTAAAGTTTCAGAATTATTTCCTTCTGTGGCACATTATTATAAACAATGACAATTTTAGCCTATAATGTGTTTTTCCTTAAAATAATCCAACAAAACTGTTGAAAAAGACACCTCCTGCAGAACAGCACCTCTAGTGGTGTGGAGTGACTGACTGAAATCATCCGCCTGTCTTCTACAGGTTGAATCCTCATGAATATGTTTAGACTTTGTTTGAGGATCCTTGTGTTTTTGTCTTGTGATTGTATTTAGATTCTGTGGGTCTGTTTGTAATCCCCCCCATGCAGTGAGCTCCTGCTCCAGCCACTCTCACCAGTTCCTCGTTGTCTTTCCCCAGGTGTTCGTCATTATCTCTCATTAGTTTCCCTTTAAGTTCAGCATCACTGTGTTCTTCCCCGTCCGTGGATTGTGTTTCTCACGCCGTCATGCTCCAGCTTTTGTTGTCGTGTTTGTTAATAAACCTGTTTTCTTGATTTCACCTCCAAGTTTCATGTGTCTCTCTGCACCTGGGTTCAGAGCCTGTTACTTTGTTTACATATTAGAAATTAATATCAACCGCCCACTTAAACCACTGCTGAATGCCAGTGATAATTAAAATCATTAGCCTTTACTGTTTCATTTGGAATCACAACCCAGTCACATTTTTGCACACATTAAGAGCAAACAGCAACACCAGCTACCAAAACAAGTAGTTTGTCCTAAAACTTAAATGCAGAATGAATAAAACATTGCAGCGCATGTGAATATGTTTAGAACCACAGATATATTTTTCCTCTATTGATTCATGTTTTTTAATGTCACTTTCAGCACCTCCTTTATCTGGGTTTGGGACCGGCAAACGTGACCCCAAAGAAACACTTAAGACAGCAGAGATTTGTTTTAGAAGCATCCGGAGAGCGCGCACCTCCACCAAGACCCCAGGGTCGCTCACACAGTAACGTTGTGCACCCACAGCCAAACCAACGCTACAGAAAACATAACCTCCTTTGCAGAAGGAACTACATTTACATGTAGGTGAAAAGTTATCCAGGTCATGATCAATCCAAAAAAAGGGTTAAAAACAAAAAACAGCTGATGAGACCAGCTTGGACTCTTAAACTGAAATGGGAAATGGACTTGAGGAACCCATATCAGACTCAGTCTGGTGAAAGATCATTCAGAACATTTATTCATCTGAGACAATTGGTTCTGCTGGAGGTTTCTTCCTGTTACAGGAAGTTTTTCCTTCCCACTGTCTCCTTTGTGCTTGCTCAGAATGGGAGACTGAGACGAATGAAGACTCAACACGATCTGCTGCTGAGTAAATGT